TCTGGCTCAAGCAAAATAGGAGACATAGAATTAGCATTATTAGGATATTCATGACTTGGTAGCTAATATTACTTTATGCTCCTGCCTAGAAGTTTCAGCACAACAAGGGTTAACTGCTAAAACTCATAGGTCTAAGCACTATCATAGGTATAAGCCTATCACCTCCTTCTGATACTCTCAATCATGTACAGATGAAACCACCCTAACCCAAATCTAGCCACCATGAGCCCCATGTTTGTGTCTCTGGCACCTTACAGCCACTGCAATTAGAGATGGATGGTAGATCTCACATAAATAATAAAAAAACAGATATGTTCCCTGAGACTATTACTGCCAGGAATAAAGGAAATGCTTGTAATTTTAGAAGCATTTTCCATGAATATATGCTAGTATATATATAAAAAATGACATTTGGGAGACAAATGTGATTTAACTTGAGCTCTATTCATAAATCAAGTAACACTCAATATTTGAAGATATCCATGGCAGTGGTTTGTGATATTTTAAGTGTGAATAAAGCATGATTAAGTTTTCCTATAATTAGAGAAAATATATAAACCAGGACTTTATCACAGAAAGACTCACTTTCAGTAGACCACCTTTCTAAAACTCTTACTCCTTTCCCTGTGAATTGCAATTACTAGAGATTTTCTATGATAACACCGAAACCATTCTGGATGTGTTTGAAATGCAGAGTGCTACTGTCACCACTGTGTTAATTCAGTATATTCTCTTTTTCCTGAACTTCCAGAATGGTTCTAGTGTCTGATCATGCTGCAGATGAAACAGTTATTTTGGCAAGCTGCCAACCAATTTCTGTTTGAAACTTAATCTCTCTCCAACTGGTAATAGAAGTAACTGTTTGACCTCTTCCCTGTTTAGGTTTTTTTTTCACCCTATTTGCACACATCTTATTCATAAAGATGTCATGGTTAAGTATGTTCCACCTGAGAACCTTTTACACCTTTCTGGTTTTATGCCCACGAATCTCAGACTGTTAAGGGTTAGGGTTCTTAACAGCACGATAATGCAGCACTGCGAAGTGCTGCAAACTTTGTATCAAAAACTTAGCTACAATTAGTGCTATAAACCAAACTTTCCTGATTAACATTTTGATAGAATAACTTCAGAATGTTCTCTTTTTCTCTCTACCATAGAGAAATTTATTTATTGCCTTGTACTGAGACAAGAACACGTATACATGACACTAAGTATGTCAGACATACACTAAGTAAACTAACAGCAACAATTTCACCACAGCAGCTGAATACACCACAGCAAAGGAAAGTGTTTTGAGAGAAATGTCTGATAAAGCGCAGGTTGATGCAGACATCCAGGAAGTGTAGAACTCCACCATCATGTTCTTCAATGTTGTAAAATGTTTACTTCTCTTTTCTGCCTCGTAAAAGGAAATGACCCAGAGGAGAATTGGCTAATCCTAGCCAGGTCCTAATCTTAGTCAGGATTCTACTGTGAATGCCCAGAATATAAACCTTATTTCTACTCTCTTCCCCATGCAGCAGAGATGTGGTGTGGTCTGATCTCATGCAGCCATAGTTATGCTCCTATAACTTCAATCTTCAAATGGTTGCACTACCCAAAACCCCACCAAATAACTGCAGCAACTTTAACAGCAATGAAGTTAATAGTTTTTTCTCTCATGAAAAGCAAAAGGATCAAATGCAGAGATTTCCAAAAAGGCCTCCTTGCTGATAGCATCTCCATGCAGTATGGAACAAAACTTAAGCATCTTAACCACAGTGCTCTCAGTATTTATGACACAGGCTTGGTCCAGTACATTAAAGCAATAGTGAAGATGCATTTATGGCGTATAAAACTGGCTGAGCTCTGTTTAGTTCTTTGCTGTACAAAAAAAAAAAGGAGCACGGTAAACCTAATGGTTTGCAATGGTATAACTAGAGCCATGGTACAATGGTACTAATATGATTACATAAACTGAAAAAACAAATAATAATAATCACACCCATAGCCCATACTGCTGCTGGTAAAGACCTCTGTTTAAGTAAAACTTCACAAAGCTACTAAAGCATGACTGGTTGGCTATGAAAAAGAGTTAACAAATCAAGAAATTAAAACAGCTGGAAATTGAAGCTGATATTAAAATGTGCTTGCTAAATGACTCTCAGATATCAGAAGTTAAATTCTGCACAACCCTGGAGCACTACCAGAGTGCATGGCCATATCAGCTATTTGAAGTTTCAGATAGAATCAGTGAAGCTGGGCTGCCACACCTGAGCATGAGGATAACATCAATAAGCTTATGACAGAAAACCTGAAGACACAGACAGGGCCAAACTGCTCCATGCACACACAAATGGTTCAGACCAAAGGACGGACTGTGTGCCTGTTGACTAACTCTCTCTTCTTCTGATTATATCAGCTTGCCTAATAAAAAATACCCTTTCCAGAGGCATTTGGGTTCTCCTATATCTTATAACTCTTACAGCTGGAAGACTTCCGCAAAAGACTGTTAAAAATACTACCATCTGCATTCTGACCAAGAGCACAAAGATTAATAAAAGTAACAATTTTACTTCAAATATGCTCAGAAGTCAAGGTTACCCCTGGGTTTCAGAAAATCTCCTGCATGGCCAGTATATTATTTCTGACACAACTTGGAAAAGAAAGCAGCAGAAAACAAAGCATGTGAAGAAATATAGAACTGGCATAGAAAACTCAATTTCCAGCCAGCTCAGAGATCAAAGGGACAAGTTTTACAGCTACTAGGAGAATCAGTGAGAAGCAGAAAGTGGGGCTGCACCTTCTATACAAAATCCATAACTACCTTGAATGGTTCTCCTTCCCTGGAGAAAAGGAAAGGCAAAAAACAGCAGCCACTGACATTTTCTCGGCCTTCAGAGATTTCCCCGGAACCTCTTCGTATGACAGCAGCCCCACAGCTTTCAGATTGATGGGGCTATGCAAAATGTAATGAGCAGTAAACTTGATCATTAATTCTCCTGGTTAAACAAAACCAACCCTTCCCCTTTTATCCAGTTGGGGTTCTGAAACCACACAAATAAAAACAACCATTGACAACTGATGTTATTAGTCTAATGACATCTGAAAAGAGCAATTTAGAGGTGTTACTTTTGCATCTGCCATTTTCAAACTAGAAAAACATTAACTGCACCTGAAGATCATGATGGACAGAACGTAACAGAGAATAAAGAAATGCTGCAAGCAAAATAAAATAGGAAAATGCAGTATCTTTCTTCAATGGCAGTACATGAGAACTAAAAAAAGAGGCTGTGACAGATTTTTAATGCTCTGGAGGTTTTATACAGTCATTCATCACCACCATACCTGCTCCATTACATTTTGTTCAAGGATTATTGGCATATATCTAAAATGGGAATGGGGCAAGAAATGAAAAGTATATATTGCTTTCTTCATCTGAATGTTGGCTAGGTGTTTGGATGCAGAAGTTTCAGCTGATTATTCACCACTTATCCCTGGTTACTGTTTTGGACTGTGTCATATCTGTGAAAGAAAGACGCATAACAATAATAACAAGGATTACAGCCTTTGCCATCTTCAAAGTACTTTTGAGGTACTTGGATTAACAGTAAACTGCTAATCCAAAGAAAGATAATTCTATTTTTGGTATGACTTAAACACTGCATTTGCCAGAAATGCATGGAATTATGCCCTGAGCAGCAGCCACTGCTTTTTACACAACTTACATGGAATAAATTACATTTTAACATGCAGAGCAAAAAAAAAATCTATTTAAAGCAAATACTTTAGTTCTCAGTTATTGATCTATTATTAATGTGACTCAGTGTCATCCATAAAATCATTATTTTATGATAAGCTGAAGTGCATTACAATAGTATTTTATTAAACTGCATTCAGTGCATAGTAGAACTTCCACTGCCTGTTTTGCAGAATGTTATAATGAAGCCTTTAACCTTTCTAAATTGCATTTTTCTACCCACAGAGTGCTAAAACTTTTTTGTGTATCTGCATTCAACTTCTGTTTGGCAGAGTGCAAAATGATTTTATCTGCAGTCCATCAGTAATCTATGCTCATCCACTTCTTTTCATAGATTGAAAGAAGTTGAGATATTGTAATGGCTCTAGCAAGCGTGTTATATACTGGAAAATGCTTTTTGTCAATATCTTGGTTAGACATAAATGATGCATATGCAGTACTTGAATCACATCCACAAAACTGAGCTAAAATGAGTTGGAGCCCACTGGGAGCGTTGGCACCTGAAACACGAGCACACCTCTGGTACCTTATAAATATTGCTGCCCTCTCCTGGACTTTCTTGCAGGCCTTTTTCTGGAACCTTTGCCATGGAGGTGGTAATCACCTGACAGCAAGCTTCAGCAAGTTTAGGTCTAAATCATATAGGTTCTGTCATTAACCCTTAGTATTCTTGCAGAGGGCAGAAACTTCCCTATTAGTCAATATGTAGATGAGGTTGTGCTTCATAATTGACAGCCCTGAGTTACTGTAAATTAGTGTGATCTGTTGTATAGCTGTAACTAACTAGCATAGAGACATAGCTCACCTTTGTCCTGACAGTCCTCATACAAAATCTTCTACAGAGATTATTCCTTAAAGGAGGAATTAAGATGAGGAAGTAGCCTCCTTTGGCTCCTCTGCATTCAGTGGAAAAATAACCTTCACCGAAGCTTTCCATTCAGCAGTATCAGAAACCTCTTACTCTGATACTGTTCCTCCTTGAATGTATTGATAAAGAATATAATAAAAATATATAGTGTTGAGAATCATACATTAAAATTTTAAGTAATTCAGAGAACATTTATTTGTTAGTAAAGACAGCAGGAACCATTTGGCAAAAAGAAAAAAAGAAATCAAGCATACCGTGATTTGCATCAAGATTTCAAGAGCTAACACTTTTTCTTTCAAGGTAACTGCAATACATGTCACAAATGTTGCAGGTTTGAAATGTTACACATAGTGTGCTAAGTGACTCTCAATTTAAAAAAGACAGTAAACCAAATAAAGTGAAATAACCTTTAATTCCCTTTTTAAATGTGCATTGGAATTCAATACAGATCTGTAAGGCACTCTCATAGGTAAAAAAATTAAAAAATTAAACATTCTTTTAAAAAATAAGGACAGTCACAAGGCAATGGTATGTGCATAAAATATAACCTTATCTGTAACTGACAAACAATGAAATATGAATGTTCAGGGTTTGGATGCATTGCAATGTAATGTCATTTCTGCCTCATGATACTACTCAAGTGTAAATATTGGCACTGTAAATGATTTTTCATTGGGGTTAGGGGCTTGTATTCTCTTCATATCCCAGTAAAAAATAAACTCTTTAATAAATAAATATATAAAATAAATATATGCTATCTGGAGATGTATAAATAGGTCCATCCTGAAGAAAAGTTCCAGCTCTATGATGCATCAACATCTAAGATCCATTGCTAAAGTGGAGACACTATGACTTCATATACAGTTCTCAGGATTTATTACTATTTTACAGTCCATTTATTTCTATTTCTTCCAGCTGTCATCTCATCAGTGTGATGCAGGTAGCCCTCTGCTAATTCACGGACTACAGGTAATCCAGACAAATTTGCCAAGATTTTGTTATTTTTAAAAAGTCACACTCCAACTTCCCTCTGGTTACTGGCTACCAAACAGTTCAGCAGGTTTGAAGGAGGATGGTCCACTGCCAGCTTTAAGGCTTGTCTCCTAAATCCAAAGGTTATAAAATAGATGTTTGCCTATCACAAAGTAGCTTCTTCCAATCCATCATCCCAGACCTCTGCAGGTTCCTCATGCTGGTATTGCCATGAAAGTAGGGGCAACAGATCCATTGTGGGGGGGGGGGTTCCCCACAGTTGCCTCCCTCCTCAGCTGTATCCTAAGACATCTTTGTACAGTTCTGGAACTCTTTCAGGATCCACGGGCCGGGGCAAGAAATGAGTGAATTTCTGGTGTCTTTTGGATCTTGCCCCATCTCTGGGAGTACCATCTTTGTTCAGTGCTACGAAGTATCGCCGCCCCGAATCTCCATGTTTGTACACATTGGATGAGTAAGTGTTGTACCAGTTCTCTTCAAACTGCTCCCTAAAGATGCATTCAGAAGTTAGTTTCTCCTACAGAAAAAAAAAAAAGCAAAGAAAAATAAGTCAAGCTGTTGCTAGATATCATAACACACATAAGAAAAAATACATGATAAAAATAAACAAAATGGCTTAGGCTCTGTGTAGCTTTACTGTTCATTTAACTGTCAACACATCAAACCTCAGAAGAGTATGTAGACCTGACAGAGTCTGGAAGCCTACTTTAATCTTAATCATTTTTAAAACTGGACCTGTACATATACAATTTTGAGTTTAAACACAAATTAAATAGTTATTAACAACTAAGAAGGCATTATTTACTATTTAACTAAAATACCTGGCCTACAGGAACTCTGTTACGTAAAGTTGCATCTACCATTCTAAAAATGAGATTTGGTGGAAGGACTCAGATGCAATGGAACCTATCAGGAAGATACTTCCATGTGCTCTTTGTAGTATGCATCACTTCTCACATTTTAAACCACAAACAAAGGAATTGGAGAGACAGAGTATTTTATCTCAAGATGTTTTTAGACTTGAAAGGAGAAGAGTCTAAGACTTATTTCCCTGAGAGTATTGGAAAAAAATCAAAGATTACATTTTTACGGTCATATGTTGAAGTTAGTTAATAGATACAATCAAATGCTTCATTATTCAATGAAAATATTCCAGTCAGGATCTACAGATGCTGCCAATACTCTTGCAGCACTTCAATTTTTCAATAGTGGCACCTAACTTTGACATATGGTATTGTACACTTTTGCCTGGCATTTGAAAGATTGTTTTATGTTAAAGAGCTGGTACCTGGAAGTACCACCTGCTGATTTGTAAAGGAGCATTAGGCTATGCATAAAGTAAGTCAGGGCATTATACTAATTGTTGTTTATTTGTTCCCTAAATATCCTTTTATCTTTTTTCCAGTTCCATTCAATGTTTTTGATGATAGAGTATGCACTGTGATACACTGGCAGTATTGATAGAAAGAAAACTAGATAGCAGGCAACTTAAATGATGTTTGAATACTTGGTTTATCTACGTTTTGTCATAATTTAAGAGGAGCATTTCTTTTTTTTTCTCTTCATCTAGGACAGAGAAACTTTTCTCATCAAATACTTAGTATCCAAGGGTATACTGTATACTTTAAAAATGTGTTATACATTTGAACAGGCAAAGATGTTAGTGTTCCGAAAGCTAAGATGATATCGGGTAGCTACTTAAGGGGTTTGCACAGTGCTAAGAAGTGAATCAAAACTGCAACATGTATGAGCTGACTTGAAAGTGGCACTTACAGAGCCATAAAGTTCTCCCTTCTCGTTCATTCCAAGATAAAGGCCACTGTCCACACCTCTAATACTGACCAGTCCCACTGCCACACTGATGAATTCAAGGATGCCTGAAAAAATAAGAGAGATGGCTTTAGTTCAGCCTGTAAGCATACAATATGTATCATTCAAAACACAGTAGAAAACAATAAGTGAAAAATAAGTAGAAAATAAATTTACATGTGATAGTAAATGTGGCTTAGCTTCTCTGAAATTTCAAATATTGCATTTGAACATGCACTGGAAAGCATCTGAGAAGCTGCATCTAGGAACAAGAACTCTACACCATTTAAGAACCTGGGTTTTTTTAACACTGAATATGCAAGGATTTTACTCGGCGCTGATGCTAAAGCCTTCAGTACTATGCAGCTGGAGTCTATATTGATTACACACTATTTGCTAAACTGCCTACTCAAACATTGGAAGATAGGTTTGAATTACCTGAACATATACTTTACTTTCTCTATAGCGTTATCTTAAAAAAACACACCCATTATCAGATCATTTGAATGGAAATCAAAGTACAGATGGGAATTTTATATAACAGAATCTACCCACAGGAAAAAAAAGTATTTGCCAGACATCTTATCTAGCATATGGGCCCACACCTCCTGACACAACTTGCTGTCTTCAGTGCAGGCTTTTTATGTGCATGAAATATGCTGCTTATTTGCTAATGTTTGAGTTATAGTAATATAAATAATGCATTTGCCCCAAAATGTAATATATATTAATAATATAAAGTATTCAAGAGATGAGGCACTATTTGAAGCCTGAATTTGGCAAGGGTATACCGACATATTTAACCAATTGATATGCACAGATTACAGTACATACAAAACATGAAAGAAAGGGAATGTGTGAACTGGCTTTTTGGAAGTTGTTAGCAGTGTAAACAAAGCCTCAAAAAGAAGTTGTTCCAGAATCATACCTGAGATTCTGCTGTGCAGCACCAAAACCACAAAAGTCTGAATCTAAGATAAGTGGGTTTAAGTGGTGCATTTGATAATGACATTTGTCTATTTGCTGTGTTTACGGTTACTCTTTATCATTTAGGACCACTTTTCACTCTCACACAGATGGACTGTCTGGACTGTATGACAATTTAAAATGTTTTGAATTTTAATTGAGCTTTGCAGGTTTCTTATTTATATTACCAAGCAGCAAAGAAAGTAAATCCTTTACAAAGAGTAAGCATCACAAACTCTGCTGCACGTAAATCATCCCAGTCTTCCAGGTCCTGAAGGACAAAGTCCCATAAAAAGAGCTGGAGGCATTTTGTCTTTCTGGTATAATTTTCTAAGCCAGCCTTTTTCAAACTCTAATAAGCAGGTGACTCAACCCACAAAGCAACCACATCAGACAAACCTGCCGAGAAAGTGGTAGCATAAAGGAAGAACATTTCTAAAAATCCCAGTAAATGTTTGATCTGGGGCTTTTTTCTTTTTTCTTTTTTTTTTCCTTTTAAAGCAAAGATTTATTTCATGTTTACACGCTGTAGGAAATCTTCTTTCTGAGAACTGTCTGTTTGACTACTGCTCTTTTACTTCTGAAAACACCCATGTGTTATAAAAGCAATTAAGAGCTATTCCAGCAGATTGTTTTGACTATAGAGAGGAGGATAGGAAACTCTTTAATCACCTTTTTACAACTGCTAAATCAATACACACAAAAACTCACATGTACTTGACAACGGCAGGTTTGTTCAGATGTCCAGTTCCTACGACTACTACCTAGGATTTACCCCTATATCACAGGAAGCATTTACATTTTGGGGTTGCCTTCACCGGCTTTTGGTTTATTGACGGAGAAAGTAGACTGGGAAGCATGTTACGGATTTGAGCAAAGAGGTATTTTAGGCCCCTCTGCTTCAACTTTCCACCCTGCAAACCAAAGCAGCCTAACCCAGTCTAAGCATCAGGATGCCCAGGAACTGTATTATTCTACAAAGACTCAAGCAGCTGCGATACAGACAGGGAACACAGAAAAAGTCGGTCGGACTTTCGACCCTCCCCACTAAACCTGCAGGCGCATTACCGCAGTGACAGCCACCCAAGCAGCAGCGGAGCCCGGCAAAGGATGCGCAGCCCCTTTGCCCTGCTGCAGCCCCAAGGTTTGATGTCGCTTAGCCCGCCGGTACCCCTGCCCAGCACCACCGGTCCCGCACCGCCTTCCCGTTAGCATGGGAGATACATGTACACACGGACACGCGCGCACACACGGACACGAGCGGGAGCACGCTCCCGCGCAGGCCCGCAGGCAGAGCGCGACCGGGGCCGTGCCGCAGCCGCCTACCGAAGAGGCTGTGGTCCTGGCGGGTGCCGCGCACGCTGCCGTCGGGCAGGATCTGCAGGTGGAAGCCGGTGCGGCAGTACAGCTGCCGCCGCCGCAGGATGCCCTGCAAGTGCGCTAGGTCCGCTGCTGCCGCCGCTGCCGCTGCCGCGCCGCCGCGGGCTGCCCGCTCCGGCGGGGCTCGGCGGTCCCCGAGCAGAGCAGGGCGCTCGCCTGCGGGCGGGAGCAGGAAGTGGGCGCCCACCGGCTGCCCCAGGCCGTCCAGGCCGCCCAGGAAGCCCCCCACCTCGGCCAGGGGAGCCATGGGGGAGCGGGGCGAGCGGGCTAGGGCACGGCGGCGGAAAGCGGCTGCCGGCCTCTCCCGGAGGGCATGTGGGGGTGCGCAGCGGGGCCCCAAGCATGGGGAGCCGGCAGGGCCGAGCCGTGCTGAGCTGAGCCGAGCCGAGTCGAGTGAGCCAGGAGGCGCGGTGGTGTTTATACGCCCCGCGTGTGTATATATATATATACGGCGGTCCCCCTGACATATGCTAATGAAGCCCTCTGCGGGGAGGCTGCGTTTGAAATTGTAAACCGGCTCCCCCTCTCCTCGCACCTTCCTCTGATCTGAGACGGCGGCGGGGAGGGAGCTCCGGGCGCAGCCCCCACGCCCCGCCGAACGCAGCCAGTCATCGGGGAGGCGGAGGAACGGAGCTGAGCGGGCAGCGGGGGGCGGGCAGGCGGGAACGGGGAGCTGCCGGAGCATTACGTGGACAGGTGCAAGGAGAGGCAGGAGGGAAGAAGGAGAAAGGGCGTTACCTGAGGGTTAGACCTGCCCAGACACACATGAAAGGAAAAACACAAAGATCTGACAGTTTTACTCCGTGTTTCTAAAACGCTAATAAAATGTACATGCATTACCCTTCCCTTTTATCGCTTCAGCTACAAGGAGGGGAATTTCTACAGAAATTGGCATAGTCGGGAAGGTGTTTTCCCCTCTGCAAATTCTCCCTCGCATTTAATTTATCGTTAATGTGACATGAAACCGATTTATAGGGCCTGGGTATCGACACATCGTCTTAAAGACAGAAATGGGCATGATGGCGTGGTTTGGGATAAGTATTCTCAAAACCTACAGAGAAGAAAGATTGAGAGGTGGCTCCCCTAATCCATCTTCTTTGGGGTTTTGCATTGGGCCCGTAACCAAGGTCCGTGAGCATCACAAATGAGCAATAACATCATCTACTGAAAGATCTCTGTTGTCTTCCTACAGTGTTTTGAATCAATTTAGGACTTCGCTGTCCTGTTCCAGATGCACATATGCATTTTTTCATCCCCAGAGTAGAATGGTTCATGCACATAAATGCATTGGTGGAACACGTGTTCATTATTAGCAATGGTAAAAAAAACTAAGAGCTTGACTTTCCCTTCTTTGCTGCTTTTTTCTGTAACATGTAATGAATTTTAGGACTCAAACTAGCTTTCAATATATGCAATGCAGTTTCTTGCCAGTATAAAATGCAAAGATCTCTCATAGTTTTTTCTTTCAAAAGTTCAAAAGAGAATCACTTGGCGGTTTAAGATTTCATTTAAACAAAAAAGTTGCAGAGAATCATGAAAGATTAGTTCTCCTGTCTTGCTCCGTCGTCTTTTCAGTCACAGTCTAAATCTGAGAGATCAAATGGATTTGCCTGCTTAGCTTTATTTGCTATGGAGAGTATAGGGCTAATTAATTGGCAGGTGCTTTAAAGCAGGTAATGCTACACCTTTTCATCATTGCAGTCCTCAGTACTGCCCCTGTGTGCACCTGAATTACAAAAAGGTTGCTTTAAAGCAAGTGATTTACTGTGGAGGGATTTAAAACTGAAAAAACTAACACTAAATACAATGATCAGATAAATCACCTCAGAGGAGCGCACAGGCGGACCTGCTCTGAGGGCAGTTACAGATAGATGTTATATTATTTTACCTTTCAGATAACAGGAGCCTGTCATGTGGTGGGACCCAAAAATCCACCATAATCGAGATTTCAAAGCACATCTGTGTAAACATTATCACATCAGTGTAAAACATCAACCAATGAGCTTTCTCTTTGAACCAAATCTACCTAATTGCAGTGCTAAATCAAAGAAATAGATCAAAGTTGAATAATCTATATGGCACCTATTTCTCAAGTAGCCTGTACATTGATTGCTCAAATACACCTAAAACGTTTGAAACATGCATCAAGTATTTTTATTGACATGATTGGCAGGTTAAGATCAAACTGTTCACCACAGCTGCTAAGTTGCAGGACATGTGCTAGGATAGTACACCTAAATGGAGGAAGTTTATTATTCTGTGCCTAAAGATGCTCCAGTACACATGTTTCCGAGTCCAAGCAGTACTCTCCAAGTCCTACAAAGAGTAGAGGGCTCTTCTGATTTGATGGCACCACTGTCTCCAGTAGAGAAGGGTTCATTTTTCAAACAAACTCCAAAATCCTCAGCCATCACACACTGGAAGACCCTTATGGCTAAATCTTTCCTGTTATATAGTGGAAACATTTAGAGTGGAATATATAACCTCAATCTTTTCCAAGTGGAGTCTTTAATGTCTGGGCACTAAACCGGTTATGCTGTTTTAGAAAGTACCAGAAAAGAAACAAAAAGATAAGAATTTTTTTGTGTGTTTGCACTAGTCACGTGACAGGAAAAGATAACACTAAAGATTTTTTTTTTCACCTTCTGAGACTATAGCATGGGAAGTTAAATAATTTTGAAGAGTGTTTTTACAAGAGTACATAATTCAGCTTAAAAGTATACAGTACAATCTAATCACCTCTACGTATACTTCCTAGAGACGGCACTTTCAGTGTCGTTGAACAAATACATATGTGGTCGAGTTTTTATTTCCATAGCAAGTAGTTAGGGCTTCTATAGACAATGTAATTACCATGTATTTTCTAAGAATTGCATATTGTCATAGGCAAAACCTGGTAGCCACCATGGGAGTAAAGACAGCAATGGTCTGAAATCTTTGATAGGTAGGCTATATATATATGTCTATATATAGATAGAGAGAGATATCCAGGTTTCTGTCAAGGTGGATAAAAAATATCTGTTGGCTGTAAAACTTTATGCCCAACAATTTATTGCACTTTTATTAATTTTAGAGCTTCTTCACAACAGTGCTGTGGAAGCCATAAAATGTCAATGATAAAATATTGGCTGGGGAATGAAGGGGTGAGGCCATGAATACATGAGAAAGTAAACACGGTGTTGAACAAAAAACACTAATTAGAACATAAAGGAATATGCCCAGCTGGAGAGATCAGTGTATCACAGACAGTTCCAGATTCTTCCTAGATTGGACAAGAGAACATAGTTGGCTGCTTTCAACAAGATGAGCACAACACAAAGAAGTTACAATGAGCGCCTTTCTGAGCACTGCAAGCTTGAGTAAAATAAGGTGTTTTCTTCTGCAGGATTTACCAGGAACAACAGAATAATTTTCATAGATCCATGTAGAAATCAGGACATAATCTGATGATCTAATGACTTTTAAATGCAATACATACAGAATTAGAAGCATTCAGAACTTTTTCTTCTGAACTGATAAAGTTACAGGTATGTATGCATGTATACATACATGTATATATAAATATACCTACCTATTTACAGTGCTGTAAAAATTATTTTCGTATGGAAGTTCTACATTTCTTGCATCTTCATTTTCGTTTTGTTTCTTTAAATGAAGACAGAAATTCATAGAGCTTTTTAAGGTTCAGGATTTTGTTGTCCCTGCTTTTGTGGGTACACATGAATAACTCCTGCATAAGTAAAGAGGGACAGAGAACCTGGGTAGTGAACACACATTTACACCCAGTTCTATCCAGTGAGAATGGACCTTTTCCATATACATCAACATTCAAATGCTGCTTTTGTCAGCTTTTATATTAGTTCCGCAAGAGGATCACTGGATAAAAACTACCTTGAGTTATTTAAATTACATGGTTTCTAAATCAGCACACATAAGATGTGCAGACAGCTTACGGTTTTTGACTTGCTGCACAAATAAATTGTGCTCTTGTTCCTAAGCAAACACCTCAGCAGGGAAGTTCTGACTAACATACCCAGGTGTAAGCAGTTACAGATGTGTATTGGGTTTTTTGAAGTGGAAAAAAAAAAATTAAAAAAAATGATTAGCCTCAAGGTGTCATTGAAAAGTCATTAAAATGGTCATTAACCAATTTCAGGGAAACAATGTAAGCAGGGAGATAATTCACAGTCATGTCCACAGTTTAGGGAACTCATGAGTCATCCAGCAAACAGGTTTACATTGGGGCACTACACTGACCAAAAGTGGCTCCTTTTCCAATCAAATGGAAAAACTAGACTATTTTTAACAGGTAGTTGTATTGGTGAATGATGTCTCTTAATGAGGCAGCTAGAAATGAAAAGATTCAAGAGCCACATTGTACAAAATTTTCCAGACTGGATGTTTAGTCATGTAACTGCAGGAGAAATACTTGAGTTTCAGTCATGCTAAGCACCTGAAACTATTATTGTCTTGACACCTAAATATTGGCCTTTGTATTGGCCTTTTGTCATTTAGTACAGAGATTTAAAACACATTTGAAGACGAGACTTTTGCTTGGGAAACATACATATAGCATAAATAAAGCAGTAGACATGAAAAAAAATTAGTTTCTAACATATGGGAACAATGAACTGAATTACTTGAGGAATGAATTGGCTTAAGTATTCTAAAATGTTGAAAGAAACACTGTAACTATCATTCACCCCAGATACCTGCATTTCCAGACATAGCTCTGAGGTAATTCAACCCTGGCCATGATTACAGTTGTATGATCTGTCAGATTGTTGGTTGACAAACATGGCCACGATTCTCCCTTGACACAGTATCATAACCACTGAAATGGTTTCTTAAAAAATGAAAATGTATGAGAGTGGCTTAAACCTGTTAAGGCTGACCTGACAATGTATGCTTGCAGCTCAGAAAGTCAAATGTATTCTGGGCTACATCAAAAGGAGCATGGCCAGCAGGTTGAGGGAGGTGATTCTCCCTCTCTACTCTGCTTTTGTGAGACCTCACCTGCAGTACTGCATCCAGCTCTGGGGCCCCTAAGTGTAACACAGATGGAGCTGTTGGAGCAAACCCAGAGAAGGGCCACAAAGGGCTGGAGCACCTCTCCTATGAAGACAGCCTGAGATAGTTAGATTTGTTCAGCCTAGAGAAGAGAAGGCTAGAGGGAGACCTCAGAGCAGCCTTCCAGTGTGTAAAGGGTACCTACAGGAAATCTGCAGAGGGACTTTTTATGAGGGCATGTAGTGACAGGACAAGGGGGAATGGGTTTAAACTGACAGAGGGAGATTCAGATTAGATATTAGGAAAAAATTCTTTACTATGAGGGTGGTAAGGCACTGGCACAAGTTGCTCAGAGAAGCTGTGTCTGTCCCATCCCCAGCAGTGTTCAAGGCCAGGCTGGACAGGGCTCTGACCAACCCAGTCTACTGGGAGGTGTCCATGTCCATGGCAGAGGTGTTGGAACTAAGTGATCTTTGAGGTCCCTTCCAACGCAAACCATTCTGTGATTCTAATTAAGTTATAATTTGTGTATTTTCTGAAATCTTGTTCATAATAATATACCAAGCCAAAGATTTAGGGGGGGAAAAAATGGTTGAAACTTGGGAAAAACATATTTACACGAAGACTGAGGCTGTACCTGACCATTGCAAAAAATACTGTGTTATGCTGTAATTTGAAATGTCTGTGTGCAGTTTATGAAGTTTTGAGGTAATGCAGGTGGTGATGCAGGCTGCAGCATGGAGAATGCCCCAGGTGGAACGCCAGACAGTGCCTATTGCCCATCAGCACCAGGCAGGGATAAAAGAACATGATCACCTTTAACAACTGGTCTTTAACTAGCTCTTGGTTATGCTTATGAAACTGCCTGTAGCCAAGAGTGTCAGAGAGGCTGTTGACATTGCAAGTGTTTGTTTTCCTGGAGAGAGGGCTTTATAACACAAGAGTATGGAAGGGTAGGACACACCGTGGTTTGGGGTCCCTGTGAAATGACCAGCAAATACACTTGAAATAGGGCCAGGAGAATTTCCCTTTTCTGAGAACCTGAGATGGAAAGAGAGGTATTGGAGAAAGAAGTCACATGGACCTCGGGAAGGCAGCCTACTGGTATTTAGGAAATTAAGTATTTAAATTGGGTCCCAATGCATCAGTGCAGTAAGCAACCAAACAGGAGTGTTACTTAGATCAGTCTTGAGAATGGTGAAGGGCAACTCTTTGTTGGCAAGTTGGTTAGCTCCCCGTTTCACATTTAATTTCTAAAAACTGTTACTCATGGGACTAAGTGCCATCTATGGTCACTTTACAACACAGTTCGAAAATATGCAATAGTCTGTCAGACTGTTTGTCAGCTTTCAGTAAATTTTAAAAGCAAAGATTTAATGTGACAAATGCTGTAAGACAAGCAACACTGATTAAGTTCAGTTTATGTGAAACAATCCTTATGCTTCTTGTTTCAGGTGTATATTGGGTATTTCCCAGGAGTTTTGAAGGCTTTGGAAACAGGTTGGGAAATTACTAGGGTTTAGAGGACTGACAGAGTTGCATCCATCTTCATTCAAGTAAGGGTAACTAGGATCACTGGATGCTTCTAAAGCCTTGGCAGTAAACCAGTGACCGATCTTGATGCTACATCCACTTGTGGCCTTCAGGGCTGTGAAACCAATGAGGTACGCTTAGAAGCTCTTCCTTTTACGAAACGAGCACTTCCAGATTACTGCAGACACATTGCAGGGCTGTGTTGGCACACTTTCTTGGGTGCAAGTGTACACAAGCAAAGGGTTAGGCTCTGTCACACGTTTCTGAGCGTACACAGTCTGCGTAACAAGCTGCAGCGAGGCCCACACATGAACTCTGTCAGCAGTGGTGCAGTTGTCCACCATGGGAAGACATCGCCCTTCCTAGACACTTCGGCTTCAACTGCCCCGATTCAGGTCCACGCCTGTTCTGTTCCCTGGTGTCCAACCACCCCGTGTCCCACCAACCTGGCTGCAGCCCGCCGCGGGCAGAGAACGCCCAGCCGCCTGCTGCCGCCTGTCCCAGAAACCAGGCGACCCCTCGGGCACTCCCACAACCACGGCGGGAGCCGGAGCTTCCAGCCTAGCTGGCGGGTTGCGCGGGGAGCGGCGGGGAAGCCCGTGCAGGCTCCGCAACCGAAGCAACAGACAAGCCGACGACCCCAGCGGGGCAGGTGGCGCGGGGCGGGGACTTGAAGGGGCCTCTCGCTTCCCCACCCCTTCCCTGCTTCTCGCGAGGCTTCTGCCGGCACCGCTAGGGGCTCCGTCCGCTGTCGCTGGGGCGGAGCGGGGGCCATGGCCGCCCTGCGCACCCTCTTGCGGTGGCGCCGTCGCTTGGGCCCCACGCCTGGTGCGCAGCCGGCTCGGCGGCTGTGGGCTGGCGGCGGGGCCGGGGCGGCGGGGCTGAAGCGGTGGCGACGGGAGCTGGGCTTGGCGGCGGGGGGTGCTCTCGCCGCGTACATGGGGTACCGGCTATCAGACCGGCACCGGGAGCCCTCCCGGGAGCCGGCAGCCGCCGGGCCGGGCGGGTCCCGGGTGCTACTCTCCATCCCCGTGGCGGCCGCTGCCAAGGAGACGGTAGGTGTGTGCGCGCCGCGCCCCTCGTCCCTCACGGCCCGGCGCCTTCGCACTGTGCCGCACTCCGAGGGCAGGCTCGGCTCAGCGCGGCGGGGGGCACCGCCGGGCTCTGCCAGCGGGGATGGAGGAACGTCGCTCCCCTCCCCTTCGCTGTGTAAAGGTCCGTGCGAGGCGGTGGCGGATAGGTGACCCCACGTGGGGCCTGCCCGTGGGCTGGGAGGCGAGGCAGAGCCAGCGGTGAGGACAGGGGCCGGAGCTCCGCGCCCGTCGGGAGGGAAGGGCTGTCAGTGGGACGTCGCGGCAGGCAGCCGGCCTTGGCTGCGCTTTAAAGCGTCAACTGCATGCGTCCTCCACGGCTTTTCGACTCCGGAGCTGTCCTCAGCGAATTTTTCTTCTTTGACAGAAAACAGTGTTTTGCAAATGGAACTGCTGCTGATAGTGCAAAACCTGCCCTCATCTTCTTTGTATTTAAGACAGTTACCTTCTCACTGTAAAATGTTCTGTAGGGTGAAAGTTCTTGCAGAATTTTATAAGAAGTGATAGCAATAGTGATTGGTGTAAATAAGTAGCACTTCAGTTGAACTAATTCAGCAAAATGACCATGGGTAACAAAAAGCAGTTGATGTGAGTCTGAAAAAGAAGTTTCCTATATTAGGAAACTTCATGACAAAATTTTCTATCTGAAATGTCGTACGTAACATATGGTGATGCTGTACCATGCTGTATGTAACATATGGTGATGATAGTAGTTTCTTCATTAAAAAGTTGGGTTCTTTTTAAACGTCAAGAGCTGTGATTAGGCAGTTTGTCAATATGGCGTCTGCTGAGACTGGAAATCAGTGGTGCAAACAGCCTGCTTTCTGTGGATCAAGTCTACCTTGTAATATGTTTAGGAAGAGGATCTGTGTCTTTGCAGTGGAGGCCTTGGGCTTAACTATAAATGTTGTTAGCCCTTTTGCCCTGAGTCATTAGCCAAAAGGCAGATTCTGTTAGCAGCATCCTTTATGAAAGGAAGTGAAGCCAGGTGTTTTTTTATTATTCATGTGCTTGTTGTCTTGAGTATGTTACTGTGGCACAGAAGACCAAAGGCAAACTCTTCCAGCTTTTCATACTGCCTTGATTTGGCAGAACTTTACATTTTTACTTAGATGGTCTTAATTCTCAGTCTTCTTTCAAGGGAGATACAGCTGCTGCACCCTTGAAAAGGGTGAATTTAGTGTGATGTCTAATTATGAATTTTCACATCACTATAAAACCACTGAGGTTACAAAGTCAGAATTAAGGTTATACTGGAACAATGTAAAATAAAAAAATATATAGAATATGTCTTCTGTGTGTACACAAGACTCTTTCTTCAAGACAAATGCCATGCTCCTTTGTGAAAAGGCTCTAATTAATTTGGTTTTCCATTTGCCTAATAAAAAATGTGAAAGATTAACTGGCACTCCGTTTGTGTGTCCAGAGTGTATGCCCAGCATGACATCTCAGAATATTAGCTTTATGTTCCATTTTTTACTTTCTGAATGAGGGGTCTCACTGTTTTTAAATTTCAGATCTGAGTGCTCAGCATTCCTGAAAAAATGGCCTTTTAACTGAATCCCACCAAAAATGAGGCTCAAATAGTTCTGGAATTTTTGGTCTGAGGTAGTGGATTGCGTCTGCTTTATTGTTGACTGTCATGCTGCAGAAAGGCTTGTGTGGTAATGGGGAAAGACCATAGTTGGATATGGGATCTAGCTGGTGAACTACCAAGGATAGTTTGACCACGAGCTCCATCTGTGATCTGTACTCCCATTTATGTTTGCTCTCTAGACCTGTGTTGAGCACCAGCTCTTTCATTACAGGTTTCCAAAACACCTCCAGAGGTGTCTTCCGGGGGAAAAGAAGGTGCAAATACTGTGTTCAAACTGCATTGAGTGGTACTCTGCAGTGGTTTTATATTGCAGTGTCCTTTATTAGAAGGCTGTATTTATGCTGCTCGAGTGACAGTAACTTTTTAATTCTTAATTTTAAGTACTGAGCTTACACCTTAATAGTGTTTAACAGCTTAAAAACCATAATGTTTGAGATAGAAAATTTTGTCATGAAAAGTCATATACATTTCATTGGGTTCTGTCATGTAAGTGTTATTAGGATGAAGGTTGGAGCTCATGGGTCTACTGCAGAGTGTGTTTAAAGTAATGGCTGGAAAATGATAACCTGCAGTTTCTATATAGATGAGTTTAATGGAAATGTGATGCACTTTTTGCTAAGAGGTTTTTATGGTTCTATCATGTACTGGCCAAAAGAGAATGATGAGGCTCAGGCATCTTGGGATCCTCTCCAGCTGCTTTTGAAGGTCAAAGACGTTTATCCTTTATTCCTGATGTACAAAGTCTAGCAATGTTTTCTGGGGCTTTCTAGGTTTGTCCTTCCCCCACTTTCCTATTTCTTTAGCTCCCCATTTAATTTCCAGTCTCAGTCTGCTTTTCATTCCACGAAGGCAAATCATCCAATATGTTTTTTTCCTCCTTTCATCCAATCCAAACTTTTCTGTTTCATCCTAATATTGCCATTTACATGGAATGTCAGTGTCTTGGTATAGAGATTTACAGCAGCTGGCAGAAGCAGTTACACTGAATGTTTCTGTTGTCCCCACCAGTAAGGCTCTGACCTAGAATGACCATATAGCAGGTGGAAATTTTGGGGGACTTGGCTAACAAATTGAGTATTTTGGGTGATGGTTTGCAAAGGTGCATACCTTAGTTACTTCTTAGCAGAACCACTAAAAAAAGCCCCAGTAGTGATGCTAAACCCTTGAAAAACCTGAAATAATTTCCTTTAAAGCATGGAATTGCTGGAGATTAGTAAAGAATTTAAAAATGTTCTGATGTGGGAAAAACAAAATTATCTCCTCACATAGTTTTTGGTTCCATTCAAAGAAAATCCATTCTGAAACATTAATTGAGGATGGATAATTTAATTTTTAATTGTTATTGAGTAGTAAGTTTTTAACTGAGACAGTATCACAATGTAAAGTATTCAGATATTCAAAGTGTTGAAAAGTATTCAAGATAGCTGTGGCTGTCTCATCCATCTTGTTGGGGTTTAACCCTGGCCAGCAGCCACCACACAGCCCAGACTGCTGCTTGCTCGCCCCCACTGCTCCCCAGTGGGGTGGGGAAGAGAATTAGAAGGGTGAAAGTTAGAAAACTCGTGGGTTGAGATAAAGACATTTTAACAGGTAAAGCAAAAGCTACGCACACAAGCAAAGCAAACCAAGGAATTCATACACCATTTCCCATCAGCAGGCAGGCATTCAGCCCTCTCCAGGGAAGAAGGGATCCGTCACATACAACAGTTACTTGGGGAGACAAATGGAAGGATAAATGCCTTCACTCTGAATGTTGTCCCCTTCTTCCTCAATTTTTTTATTACTGAGCATGATACTGTGTATTATGGAATATCCCTTTGGTCAGCCAGAGTCAGCTGTTCCAGGTGTGTCCCCTCCCAACTTCTTGGAAGCTAGGATATGTGCCACCAACATGGGGTTAGTGGTGTGGCAGACATTTCAAACAGACCAATCTCATGTGGTCAGTACAAAAAAATACTTGCTTGACCAAACATATCAGTACAGGTGTTTTGGTAGAGAGTAAGATTTGTTACAGGACCAGCATGAAGCTAAGCTCCCTACAGGATTCCCTTTTCCCAGACCCTCTCTGAAGAATGACTGCAGTCTTGAGGACCAGGGGTTTATTTGTGATTACCTGGAGCAAAATCTTAGACACAGTAATAAAGCCACAGTTTTAATTCCAGCGTTGCCACCACATAACATTTCAGAACCAAAGTAAAATTCTGCGCTTGGAGCTGCTGGTTTTGTGTCTGAAGGTTTTGGTCTAGACTGGGAAAGCTCCACCAATAGACAGTTTCTTTAAAGTCTAGGAGATGCTTGTGCAGAGCAGGAAATTCTTTGAAAAAACTATTACTTTGATTCATATTCTGTGTGCTGACAACTGAGAACAATATTGGCTCAAGAACCTTGATACAGTATACTGCTCATAAAGTATTTACCTTGTTGGAATAGCTGAGTATCATGTTGTTTTTTTTTCCAGAGAAAAAAATAACAATTTCGGAAAAACATAATCCAGTGTCAGAATTCCTCAGAGGAGTTAATATTTGTCTTACAGTTCCTGACTTCTGTGCTCCTTATTTTCAAAAATACAGTTAATTTGTAAAGCTTATTAAAATGGTTTTGGAAATACCAGTGATGTCTCTTTGCACTCCAAAGAGATCTTTTCTGTAATCATGTTGTCACTGTGTAAAGGTAGTGAACTTCAGGTCTCTCTGTTTTTACGAATTACTCTGAGAATCACTTCCTTCAGAGGTGATTTAGGAATTAAAAGGTGGGCAGGGAAAGGCAGACACAGAATATGTACGTTATCACATTTCTTGAAGGCACACTGATTTCCAGGACAAGGAAGCTGCATACTTCAGATGTTTCCAGAGGTCTTTTTTTTCTAGTACCTCAGCATTACTGTCAAACTCTCTGTCTGTGAAAATACTCAAAAGGTCAAGTTTATTTGTAGCAGTGCATTTCTAAGTGGATTACATAATGTATTTCCATCTGTATAATGAAGAACAAGATTTAACTCCAGAAAGTAAGGCAGACTCCCCTAGGGAGGAGACTCCTGCCTACTCAAAGAGGATGCTGTTCCAAGACGTGCATAAAGCATCACTTTTACAAGAACCACTCGTAGCTAACCTTTTTTCATAAGCATGGTGCATTTCATGTCATAGGTCAATTGGCAAATGTAGGAAGATGATTTGCTCTTTGGCTGATGACATCTGAAACTCTTCATGGTCATCACCCTGAGGATACTGTGCCAGGCAGCTGTAGTGAGAGATAATGCTGATGGAAAAGGAACATTTACCTCTCAGCATTGATTCTGTGGTTCCTCAGGATGCTAAAAAAGGATGAGAAGTGTTTGGGACAGACAGCTCCAGCTACTACAATGTGCTAG